AATTATAACCATATAAAGAATACAGTTTTCAACTTGCGAGGAATACTCGTAGGCCGTAGGAAATGTGTACCATCCCTTGTACGTTAAACAATATATTATCTGTTTTTCATGAGCACCAAAAAAACTTACCAGAATTTTTTATACCATTTCTATGACAGCCTATTTAAATAAACCCAAGTTTAAGCTTCGTTTCGTACTGAAAAGATCCAAATTGATATTTACTTGGAAAGAGTAAGGACAAATCGGTTTGTAGAAATAACATCTAAACATTATGTTATATTTTGCAATTTCTGTAATCGATAGCTAGATTTCCATTTAGAATTCAACGTGCACAAATTTCCAGAACCCGATTTTTCTCTAAATCTATGTATTATTTTATAGTCAAAGTTTATTAGTTTTTTTCATAAAACTAGTGCTATATAAGATAAACATTGAAAGGAGTCCTTTTTTAGCCTTATACATGGATGTAAAGGGTTCACAATTGCGAGATAATAAGTCACAATTGCGAGATAATAAATTACAATTATGTGATAATAAGTCACAATTGCGTGACAGTAAGTCACAATTGCGTGGTAATAAATCACAATCGTGAGATAATAAGTCACAATTGCGAAATAATAAGTCGCGATTTCGAGATATTAAGTCACAATTGTGAGTTAATAACTCACAATTACGTGATAATATGTCGCAATTGTGAGCTAATTAGTCACAATTGCGAGATAGTAACTCATAATTACGAGATAATAAGTCGCAATTGAGAGATATTATTTTTTTGCTAAAAAATAGTGGCCCCAGGAAGCTTTCGTACTTTCCAATATTTTCTATAATATTGAAAACCTTAAACGCAAAATAAAGTCTTTTATTTTTGCCCAAACACTTCAGAAAATGTTTGTTAGATTTAAAAATTGAACTATCAATGATAGTGATAACCAGACATTTGCAACCGTGCTTAATCCAGACATACGTTTTATTAAACTCATCGTGTTACGTACATTATGAGATAGAAATTTAAAGTGACGTCTTTTATTACTTTGAATAATACGAAGTTTTCTAACCTAAAAAAATCGTGATTATACCGTGAAAAAGGTAAGTTGGATCCAGCGAGGTTCTAATTAGTCAGTTTGAATCTTAGATTATACAAACCTTAGATGGAACATAAGACACTGCGCATAATCCCATTTCGAAATTATTCACACCCACCAATCATATTTGAGAACATCACATGTCAGAGCGTTGTCCATCCAAATTTAATGTGTCAACGAGAATTAATTTGGTATTTTAGTGACTTAAATTTTGGAAATTAACGTTTAAAATGCCAAGATGTGTTGTAGAAAGCTTTATTTATAATAAAAGTGCGAAATATGACGGAGATAAAAGAAACTTATATTTATTTCGGTGAGATATTTAATTTTTAAAGATTCTGTCGACGTCCATATTTGTTAATTTGAAAATAAACAGAATCGGACTTGGTCATTGGTACATGTTATAAGTAGCAAATAAAGGTTATTTTTATAAACTGTTTACTATTTCTTGTTTCATGGTGAATCTGTTTTCAGGAAGTGGAAAGAGAAACATACAATCAAATACAAAAATATCAATTTCATTGCCAATTTATTCGTTTCAAACTTCACAACTGGTTTCAATAGTTTTTTCAAAACTATTTATTTAGTATTTCTCTATAACAGGGTTACTCAAAGTGTGCTCCGTGGAGCCCTGGGGCTCCGCAAAGCCTTTGTGAGGACTCCGCGAAGAAAATAATCATAATAAAAAAAAAACAGTACTATCGCCACAAAATGGAGGGACCTGGCTTGAGGACCTTTTTTTTGAGAAGAGGAAGGAGGATATGATTTTGCTTTAGGACTTTTATTTTATTTTTATGGGTGAAATGGATTTGGGATAATTCTTGCAAGGAATCTTTGGAATTAATCAAAAATAAATTAACAACAAATTATGTTCTTATGCATTTTCAGCCTGAGTTGCCAATTAACTTAATCGTAGATGCATCAAATGTGGGAATAAGGGCCATATGTCATGTTTTTTAAAAAAATATTGAGAAATCTATAGCTTCTGCATCGCGCACCTTATCAAAGTCAGAACAAAAATATTCCCAAATTGAAAGAGAGGGCCTTCCAATAATTTTTGGCTTAAATAAATTTAATGAATATTCATATAGACATTTATTCATCCTAGTTACAGATTACTTACCTCTGGTAACTATTTTTAACTCAGCTAAAGGTATACCCCAATTTTCAGCCAACAGACTACGTAGATGGGCAGTAATATTGTCAAATTACAATTATAAAATTGAATAATATGTAAAATCGGAGCATAATATGAAGCCGATTTTTTATCACGTTTACCTTGAAAGTCAAAATGAGAGTCAAATTGAAGAAAAAAATTTAAAAAATATTTTTTAAATTATGTGTTTAATTTGTTGAGGGCCCCATTAAATATTTCGCTTTTCAAAAAGGTTCCGTCCCCAAAAAAGTTTGAGAAACACTGCTCTATAATAATATGTGGGATCTATCCATTTAATTACATTTTATTTTCTCTAATTTTGACATATAAAGTAATATATTTTATAAAGTAGAACATTATGCAACTGATTACGAAAAGTTGATTATGTCACCAGTTACGAAATGAAAATAAATAAAACTGCCTCTTTTTTGGTTTTTAAGTCGAAAAATCGAGAAATCGAGTAATCGAAAAATCTAAAAATCGAAAAATAAAAAATCGAAAAATCCAAAAAACCAAAAATCGAAAAAACCAAATATCGAAAAAAAGGCCGAACACCGTTATTGAAATCTGCCCAGAAATTTTGGGGGTAAAATTTTGACGTACTCCTTTAAGAATAATGGGTAAAAATGTTTTTTTTTTCAAATTTCTCGCGGGTAATGTCAAAAGTCAGATCGACAACACTGCACATGTTCCTTATTTTTATTATTATTGAAAAAAAAAAAAACCGTCGTAGGGCAATCAAATACAACAATTTTCTGAAATATTTGATTGGAAGTACCTACAAAAGAATGCTGGTAAATAATTATTTTTCAACACAATTTTATAAATAATCAAGACAAAATTAGAAAAAATCTTGTATGTAAACACGCTACCAAATGCCGTTTTGTGTAACTCGTTCATTTTGCAGGACCTCGCTCCGCTCGTCCCGCAAATATTTACTCGATACACAAAATAAGGCATTTCGTAACTGGTTACATACATAGCTATTAATTGACTTCCTAATATTTTAAATCATTGAACGGTATTTTCCGTAAATAATTAAATCATAAATAATTACCGGTATATAAGTACCAAAACATTTTTTTTTTCTTCGAAGAATAGGCTTATGTCAAATAAACTTAAAATATAACGAACGAAAAGGTAACCCATTTTTAATAAAATTTCATTATTTACTTTATTTTGGTGTGATCGTAGAAAAAATCTTGTGTGTAATTCGGCAAAAAGTACTTTGGCTGTTTCGATAACTTTTTATCTCAACAGGTATTTTGTTACAATAATTTTATAAACTTCTACTTAGGGTCGATTTCACGGTTTTGTTAAACGAAGTTTAAAATACTAAACGAAGATTAAAATGACATTTTTATATTAACAAAAATAAAGTTTAAATTACTAAATGGAGTTTAAAATGACATTTTTACATTAACAATGTCATTTTAATCTTCACTTAGTAAATTAAACTTCGTTTGACACAACGGTGGAATCGCCCCTTAGCTAGTTATATATTGATAAAGTGTTATTGCCCTCATCATAAATGAATCGTGCTGACAAATAAAGTCAAAAAAACGTGTTATAATTTTTCATCTTTTAGTTACCTACCAAAATTAGGTACTACAATACAAATATTTAAGTCCGGCCCAGAACATCTCCCTACTCCTTCCACCCAGTTTTTCGGTTTTGGCAAAATTCGCGCAGTGACAAATGCTTCCTATGTTACCTCTACCCTTTCTAACCTCTTTGGTTTGAATGAATCATTTAAATTGATTCATTATTAATTAAAATAAGAATGAAGTAGGTACATTCAGCTGGTCACTTTGTATTCATTGAATCAAAATGAAGAAAAGTAGAACTAGTTTTCACTTAAACTGAAAGTGTGAATATACTGATCATTTTTAATGAAAATAAGTTGTCACGGTCAATATTTGTTCAAAATCATTTAAGCAGTCAAACTGCTTCAGCGAAACTGACACGTCAGAATCCGACGTAGGTCGAAAGATATATCATAGAAAAGCTTATTATTTTCTCTTTTCAAGAATACGTAAAAAAGTACCACATTACTAATCTAATACAGTCCCATTCGTCACCATACAATTTTATAATAATAGGTAGTCTAAAATACGAAGTAAGGTCGATCTTCACCCATCTAATTAATGGATGAAAGATATTTTTTATTAAATAAAATATATGTTAATAAATATACCGCAAATCGGTTGCCTAAGAAAATACTATAAAAACTATTTTTTAAAGTAAGAACAGGACACCAGGGTATCTATTCTTGAATCTCAGGGAGTAGAAATTTTGAGGGAAGAATAAGACAAAAATACAAATTTTGCGCGTTGCAGATAAAGAAGCAAAACAGGTTTTCTATTCCCTCGAATTCAATAATAGCTACCCATATGAAGTACCCGCCAGATGCTTCAACTATAACCAAAATTTAACCAGCTCACCACAGGATGGATTAAGGCTTAAATTTTAAATTTGGTGTTCTTATCTTTATCCGTTTTTGAGTTATTATCAAAATTCGAAATTTACACTTTTCTCAAATATCTCGAATACGGAGAATAATATCACAAACAACTTTTATTTAAACAATTTTCTTAAAAATTTGAATTTTTACAATTTTTACAATAATCTAGATGTCTTTATTCGACATTTGACGTAATGTCGCACTTTTGTTGGACCATCCGTTAAGATGACTATTGATAATCGTGCATGGGACTTCAAATTTTTTTTACTCTATTTATTTTTCTCCATGTATGTTTCAGCCGGCGAAGACGGCATGATAAAAATTTGGTCTCGCAGCGGAATGCTTCGCAGCACTGTCGTGTCGAGCGAGTGTTCGGTTTACGGAGCCTCCTGGTCGCCGGACAGCCAGGCCATCGTCTACACCCAAGGGAAATGTCTCGTCGTGAAACAGCTGGCGCCCAACACCAAACCGCTTAAGGTAAGATTTTCCTCCTTTGTGTCCCACGTTGAATGATTTGGGGCATTAGAGAGAGGGACGGTCGAGGGGACGTTAAGACTCTTTTTGTCTCTTTCTGATGCTGTAACGTTGTTACAATTTTAATCCGTCTGAGATTCGGGGAACGTTATTCAGGTGTGATAGGATGAAATTTATTTGTCGCTAGTTTACCCTACCTGAGAACAATATTATTTTATTTTCTAATTTTCTCTTGCTGGCATTAATAAGGAGAGGAATTGTATTTAGGCACGCAAGAGAGCACATATACTGGCGTTGTTTAAAAGTTTCGTCCTATTAAGAGCGATATCCATGGTTAGAAACTGGCTTAAAAGGACTTCAAGGTTCTCTTTCTCAGTATTAAATATTTTTTTATAAACTTTGGTATACCTACTAAGCAAATGATAGAGAACCCCGCTGTAGAGCCCGAATTCAGAAAAACTTATTTTTTAATTATTTCTATACAAATTATGAAAATTATTGCAAAATGGAGTCTTTACCGGGAATTGTTGTATAAAAATCAGATAATTCTTTCCAATACAATTTTTTGTCCAAAGCGTATATTTTTTGAAAACCTTGAATTACGAAATCTGAGAAAATCTGTCAAGATTCAAATCCATATTAATTGATTTGGCAACAAGGCAGCGGACGTTGGCGGTGCATGCAGTACCGGAAAATTAGGATAAAAGTATATAGGTAGTCATTTAAGTAGCTTAGCATGAAATTATTAAAAAACTTTATTCTTTTTAGTTCAAGTGTAGGTGTTTTCTTTTCGTATTTAGTTAATGTGTTTATATGAACTTTTGTGTGTAAGCTGAGTTATAATAGTTTGTCGTAAAAATGGGAAAACTTTCGGAAATGCCGAAAATGATATTTCCATTTCGACGGAAATCTATAAAATATCGTGCAAGTATACTTAGAAAAAGACACACTATCGCCTCTTATTCTAGTCCAGTTCAGTTCCTGCCCTTCTAAGCATAAAAGTCAAAATATATGGGAAATTTATACTAAGTATGGAATAGAAAAAGAAACTTTTTTTTTAAGCAATACTCACAAATTTAAAGCGGATGTCCAATAAATGTGGTTTATTTGCGGATTCCTAATTTGGTTTTTTAGGTCCCGACGGTTTATTAGGAACCGACAGTATTATCGAAATTAAATATCCTGCTTCAAAAATTACTACGGAAAAAGCAATGGTTTGCAACATAATAAAATTTACAATTATTAATGATAATGGCAAAATTCAATTAAACCGAAATCATAATTGTTAATATTACCAGGTTCAGGGGCAAACTTTACGTAACTAAACGAAATATTTGTTTCTTTATTATTTTGATACCTTTAGGTATGTTAGTAGAAAAAATAAAAAAAGATGGTAGATTTTGGTGTATATGGAAAGCAAACTAAAGCAATTTTATTTAGATTGTATACTACCCGAGATCTTAGATCCACGTTTCACTAGAGGTTTAGATATTAGAAATCCCAGTAGAAATCCGAGTAGAAAACCGAGTAGAAATCCGAGTAGAAAACCGAGTAGAAATCCGAGTAGAAAACCGAGTAGAAATCCGACCAATAGTCAATAAAAATGATTATTTTTATTTCTTCTTTTACTAATAATAAATCATCTTACTCAATGTTATTTTTATTTATTTTTAGTACTAGAAAATAATTTTTTCTACAACTAAATGGATATTAGTTTACCTACGTAGAGACTACAAAACGAAAAAATATGCTATTGAGTAAAATGGGTTATACTTGTGTAGAATCTATAAATAATAGCATTTCTATTTTTATTTGATTTATATTTAGAAATAAATAATTATAAATTTTAATAAAACTATATGAAATCCATTTAATTTATATTCACTTTTCTTACACAAACTACTATTTTCTACACCCACATGGATATGATTTTTTCTATACCCACAAGGATATTAGCTAATCTTCGCACATACTACAAAACAAAAAAGTATTCCATTGCGTTCAACTGAACGAATATATTTCATATTCATTTTACTTAGTAAGAACACTGTAAAACAGTTAAATCCACCAATCAGTTTATATTTTGGTCACCCGGCTACTATTATTTTTTAAATTTTATGTAAGTAACAATTCTGTCAAACTAAGTGTCAGTATATTTTTGAATTATTGAGATTAAATATACGTAAAAATGAATATTTCTTATGTATAATCGATAAGTAATAGCATTTCTATTTTTATTTCGTCCAAATTTAAAAACAAATCTTAAATTTTAATCAAACCATATGAAACTAATTTAATTACAAGTATTAGAACTAAAATGCTGGCGAATGGACTTAGTATCCGTAGCCAAGGGAAACCTAAATTTAATCACACACAGAACTAAAATGGCAAGTGTGGCGATGGCGTGAGGACACGAAGTTTGTCTCCAAGCGAGGGGCCCGAGTTCAAATCAAGGCTGGGAACTAATTAAATTAAATCTTTTTGTATGTTTATTTTATTTTATAAATTAGTAAAAGTCATACATTATTTTAAAATGATTTATTTTGTCTTAATAAAATACTTTTTTAAATTTGTAGAATTTCATTAATGTGTCGTAGAAAAAATATACTGTACAACTCGAGTGGATTGTCCGTATCGCACTCGATGATTAAGCACTCCGTCTACGGAGTCGTGTTCAAACTTCGTCTTCGTGCGATGTGGCCATCATATCCAATTTTGTTGCACAAACTACTATTCACGCACAGACTACAAATATACCATTGCGTTCAACTCAACGAATATATTTCATATCCATTCTAGGTAGTGAGAACACTACAAAAAAAATGAAATCCACCAATCACAGTTTATATATTGGACACCCAACTACTATTATTTTTTAAATTTTAAATAAGTGACAATTCTGTCAAACTAATTGTCAGTATATTTTTTAGGTATTGAGATTAAATATACATTAAAATGAGTTATTTTTGTGTAGAATCCATAAATAATTTTAATTTATTTTTATTTGGACTACATTTTAAAAAATTTTAAATTTGAATCAAACTACCTATATGAAACTAATTTAATTACTACTATTAGAACTAAAATTCTAAATGTGGAGGTGAAAATGAGGATACGGCATCTGCCTTTCACGCGAGAGGCCCGAGTTCAAATCTGGGCTGGGGACTAATAAAATTAAATATTTTTTTATGTTTATTTTATTTCACAAATTAGTAAAGTCATAAATTATTTTAAAATTAGTTATTTTGTCTTTTCCTAAAATAATACTTTACATTTGTAGATTTTCGTTATTGAGTCGTAGAAAAAACATACTGTACAACTCCAGTGGATTGTTCACGGTTGTTGCACAAACTAGTATTAAATGAATTGTTATTTAAAAAACGTATTTTTATACAGGGTATTTGTAAATAAGTAAGAAAGATTTTTGAAAATTGTTATCAAAATTATTTTGTTAAAAAAAGTTCCTATAAAAGTAGGTCAAAATGTGCTTCGTTTTCGGGATACAGAATGTTTAAATTTTAATTTACTAAACTTTATTAAATATTTTAAATAGTTTTAAAGATATTTACTCTAAATTTCCAAAAAAACTTTGAAGGGACAAATGTGTATTTTTTGGGGTGTTCCAAATATTTCTACTTGCACCAGTGGCGTTTGTACGAGAATGCCATTTTTCGAAATAATCATAGGATATACATATGTATATTTAAAAATATATTTCGTAAATAAATTATTTAGTTAGAAAAAAGAGTTTCGAAAATGTTACACCAGGTTATACCTTTAAAAATATTTTAAACGAGAAAACAAAACAAAAATACTCTTTGTTAGACCGGACCTGCGATTTATCGGCCTTTTTTATATTTTAAATCATCTATAGTTTATAAGTAATAAATCGAAGGGAGCGTACCTAAGTCTGGGAATAGAGCAACGTTGCCAAAGTGCGTTCAGATGCACTGAAAGTTGTCAGTATGTTCTAAACCTGAATTTGCTGTTAGGTGTCGCATGGATATCGCTCTTAATAATTGGATATAGACCAATGGTAGAATCTGGTGGTCAAATTATGATGATTTGGTAATCATATTATTGTTAGTTTTTAATTTAATTCAAATATTCGAGAAAATACTACTTACTAAGCGACTATCTTTTGTTATTATAATGGAAAAATAAATGTCGACGCTTCAGTTTGAGTTTAGGAACAAGCACTCAACAATTGACCACATTTACCGCATAACAAACAGACACCATTGAAAAAGCCTACAAGGAAAAATAAATATATATTTATCATGATTTTTTTTACTAGGCATTGGTATGAAATATTAATTTAGAAATTGCAAAAAATTTTCCAGAATACTATGCTAAGATTTTTAATGTTATATACTTGGACAGTATTCAAACACAAACAGGAGAAAATATTTTCTACAAATAAAATATATTAATGAAGGTGTACCAGAAGATAATCTGCTAGGAACAGTGCTTTACACACTTGTGATATACAACAAAGCGAACATATGGCAATCGGTACTTATTCTAAAGATGCAGCTATCCTAGTATCTGTAACGTGTGGAGGGTGTGTTACCCCATGGCATTTAGGCCTCACTAGGCCCATTGTGCATCCCCGCAAGATGATAGGAATCTCCTAGCTCGTGAGCCAACCTAGATAATTAATATAGTTGACAAATATAATAATAATAAATGTAATCATGTAACAATAGTGCATAAAACAAAGAATTATTTATTACTACAATAGTCTGACCTCTTGGTTTTATTCAGTGCCATTAAAAAAAAAAACGTCGCCAAGAGGTGCTTCTCTTATATCGGCCTGTGTTAGCCGATACTCGCCGAACAGAAATCTTCTAATAAATGAGAGCGCCGAGCAGTCGTGCGGATTTTGACAGCCCCATGATATGGTATGAAGATGCTTCCATACTTGAAAATGACCTGTCAGAATGCCTGTGACTAGGCGCAAATACTGTCTAGTCATAGTATTTTTTTGCTGCAGCGTTGTC